ACGGTCTCCCTCCCCTTGGTACATGCTTCTGGAGTACAAGTCTTTTTCCTCCGGTGGCGAGCTGGCGATTCAGCTGGTGTGTCCCCCCACTTAAGGACCTGGTCGCTTGGTTCTTCGGTCTCAGTTTCCGGTTCCAAATTAGTCTTCCTGTAGCACCGTCAAAGATCACTGCTACTCCTAGCTCAGGACTTGCCAAACGGGTTTTCGGTAATTCTGGTTTTCTGGATTTATTGCATCAAAGCTCCCATTCGAGATAGTGTGACCAAGATTACAGATATCTGGATCCAACCAATAATCTCAACGTTAACCAATACAGATCTAGTTTTTTCAAAATCGTCGTCTGTGGGATTCGAACTCTAGACCTGCCGTTTGGGAGTGCGACAACTCCACACTTCACTAAGTCGCCACACCTTTTGGAAATCAACTATTATTATACTAGTAGAGCAATTCTTCTATTAATTTGAATACTTGTTACAATATACTATCTTCTAGTAATATTTCTTTATCTAATATATCTGGTTCTATTGGAATAACAGTTTCAATTGATAGAATAGCTTGATATCTATATACTAATTGAAAGAGAGTATATTCAGTAGTTGCATGTTATTTAGTTTGGTATGCAAATAATATAGCAGATATATGTATATCCCAATCTTTATTTGTATCTTTAGCTTTTGCAAGTAAATTGCAAAGTGTTTAATTTAAATATTTTACCATTCTATTCATTTGAAGGTAGTAAGAGAAGAAAATATATACTTAATTAAAAATTTTTTACATAATATTCTAACTACATCACTTATAAAATTCTTTGCATTATCTGAAAGAATTATTTTCAGAACTCCATGTCAACATACAATTTTTTTAAAAATAAACTAGGCTAGTGTCTCAGCACTAGTATTAAGTATAGCTTTAGCTTTAGGCCATTGGGTAAGATAGTCAGTGGCAACAATAATATAATAGTTATTCTGAGTCGTAATAGAAAGGGGTCCTACTAAATCTATTTCTATATATTCAAAAGCTAATTCCACTTGAATAGAGTGAAGAGGTTTTTTTTGTTTAGTTTTTTCTTTTTTCTAATATACTTCATATGAGCGAACATAGTCTTTAATATCTTAATACATTTGGTTCTAATAGTATTATTCAAATATTTTATAATACATAGTATCAGTTTTTAAGTGTCTAGCAGTAGGATGACTATATATTATATAAAGGATAGATTCAATTTCAGTCTACTTAATAACTCAAATAGGCTTATTAGAGTTTTTTCAATTCTTTTTGTATAGTATTTTATTCTATGATTCATAATATCTTGATTGTTTAATAATTGTTTGTTGTTCATTTTCTGTAAGGTCAAGAGTTATTTTTATTTAAGATATTTAAAATTAATAAGTTTAACTACAGATAAAAAAGATAAGAAAAATAATCAACAGGTAATAAGTCTGATTCTAAGTATTCTACAAAATATTGATATCAATCTAAATTCATATAGAAGAGAGTAAAGAAGAGGCATGTGTCTGTATCGGCAATCTTGAAAGGGCATCAACATTAAAATAGATTTATCTGGGTTTGTGAATAATAATAAAGTGATAAGACTATAATTTCATTATCTATCATCCTAGGCATCTTTTCGGTTGAGAAGATTTTAACTATTTAAGAGCAGAGTGGTTAGTAATTAGAGTAAAATGGTTAGTTCTAAAATATTTATAGAAATGCTCAATAGCCTATACTATTGCAGCATATTCTAGTTCTATAGCTCCATAGTTTACTTCTTTCTTCTTTAGGCTTTTGCTTGTATAAGCAATAGGGTGTTCTTTTTAATCACTTAATATTTAACTTAAAGTAGCTCTAAATCCTAAATATGAGGCATCGGTAGCTAATACAAATTTTTTTTTGTAATTAGGATAGATAAAAATAAGAGCAGTAATAAGTTGTTGTTTTAATTCATCAAAAGCTTTTTAACATTGTGGACTCTATTAGTAGGGTTGATCTTTATACAATAATTGATTTAAAAGATAGGCAATAGAAGAGAAGTTTTGGATAAACCTTCTATAGTATCTAGCAAGTCCTAGAAAAGATCAGAGTTGTGTAGTATTTTGTGAGGGTTGCATATTTTGTATAGCAGCTATTTGGGCTTTCAAAAGTAGAAACTAGGAAATTTGGCTGATAATGGATTTTAAGATAATTGGCAAAAACATTTTTGTTATATAAAATCAAAACAATCTAAAAATACTCTATTCAATATAAACAAACCTGTTTAAACAAGATTATTAGATCTATAGATTGCTTCTAAAATAAAAATATATACAACTTTTGTATAATAAATTTATTTTTAGATTAAAGCTTCAAAAGTTTTTAATTATTATATCTTAAAAATTTATTAACTAATTAAACTTTCAATATTAAATAAAAAGATTTGGCTTTAAATTTTATACCTAATCAATCAAACAGGTTAATTTTCAAAAAATTCTCTGGTTTCTACTTTTGAGGGCCTATTTTATTTGGGTCTGAAGAGATTCCTTTTTTTTTTATGATATGTTCTAAAAAAGGTAATCTTTTTATCCAAAAATTACATTTCTTAATATTTAGTTTTAATTCAGCATTTCTAATTCTAGTGAATACTTTACGTAGATATTTAATATAATCTTCAAAAGTCTGAGAAAATACATTAGTATCATCAAGGTAAACAACTACATATTTATATACAATATCTCTATAAACTCAATTCATCAATTGTTAAAAAGTTGCGAAAGTATTGCATAATCCAAATAGCATCATATTGAACTCATAAGTACTATATCTTGTAATAAAAGCAGTATTTTTATGGTCATCTGGATAAACTTTAACTTGCCAATATCCATTTATTAAATCCAGAGTGGAGAAATATTTGGCTCTAGCTAGTGAATCCAGCATTTTATCAATTCTAAAAAGAGGGTATTGATCTTTTTTGGTAATAGCATTTAGCTTTTGGTAATCAATACAAAATCTTTTCTTTCCATTTTTCTTAGTAACAAGTACAACAGGGAAAGTTTAGAAGCTAGAGAATTCTTATATTAAATTATTATCTAACATTTGTTACACTTCTTTATTTATAAATGTTTGTTCAGTAAGCAGTACTATATATGGTCAAGAACTTATAGAAGATACATCTTCTGTAAAGATTTGATGAGTTACAAGATCAGTTCTTTCTAATTAAGTCATATCTTTTGCAAAGAGGTTAGCAAACTCTACAAGTAGTTGCTTAAATTAGGCTCTTTAATCTGGGCTTAGAGGTTCTATTTTTGGGGCTATCTCAAGAGTATAAATTTCACAAATATAGCTATTTGTATTATTAATTTCCTGGGAGCTTAAAAATTACAACAGAGATTCTCGATGAACATAAGATACAGATAGCCCGAAGGGCCATCAGTATCATATGATCATCAGAATCTCTGTTGTGATTTTTAATTTCTCACAGGAAATTCATAAATAATACTCTATCTTATATTGTTCATGCCTACCTTTATTATAATTTTTCATGTGATTATTTGTGACTGGGAATCTTTCCATGGAAGATTCCTGGTCATGATATGATCTCGTGGCAAATTATAATAAAGGTAGACATGAACAGCAAATAGTAAAGCAGGATATTACTATAATAATCTAAATCAGTAAGTAGTTTTTGATTTTGCTTAAGATAGTTTAAAAATTTTGGGCTTCATTACAAATATCTTTGGGCAGAAAAAATTCTTCATACAAGTTTTTTATTTGGTGATAGAAATTTTTAAGTTGATCGACTTTTGTTTGTAGGGCTATAATAGTCTGGGTCTGTTGTTCAAGGGTCTGAACTTGTTCTTGAAGGAAGACAATAAGTTGGGCTTGTTGTTGAACTTGTTCTTGAAGTAAGTTAATTACTTCTTGTTGGTTTGAAGATATAGATTCAGATTCTATTTCAACTTTTAGATGAGCTTCATCATAACATTCTTAACAATAGGCTTCATATTGTTCAAGTTCTGTTTTTGATTTGGCCATTAAACAATTCTGGCAAAGTTTTACAGTTTCTTGAAAATTTTTCTGCAAATTTTTTATAGCTTTCCTTTGATCAAAATCTGAATAACTAATGTCAAAGGATTCTGCTAGAATTCTTTGTAGTTCTGTTTTTTTAGTTTTAGTTAATTGGGCTTGAAAGGCTCTTATAACAAGATTAACCTTATCATAAGTGTAGTCCTGGTTGGAACGATCAGCAGCAAGGGGTTCAAGGGCATGAAGGATATGTTTATTACTTTTATCTAATTGTATCTTGGCTAAACAAAATATTCTGCTTTGATTTAGATTATAAGCATGTCTGGCATTTTGAGTAGACTCAGTATAATGTCGAACTCAAGTTCAAAAGTTTAAGTTAGGGTTTCATTTCACATCTTTAGCAGACTTATAAGCATACAGATGTTCAAGATTACAAAATCAAAAATCTTTTGAGATAGTATCTAATTTATACTTTCTGGATCTAATACATTCTTCTTTGCATAATCGACATTTTAAAAAGGTTCCTTTTCCTTCACTATTAGTAAAATACTCAATACTTTGAGGATTATCTTGGTTAAGCTTATGATAAAAATTAGTCCAACATACTTTACAAACTAAGGTTTGTTCCAGCAGTCTAATATCTTCAGACTTTTGAGATACTTTACAATTGCAACAATAGTTTACTTGACAAATAAAGTAATAGGCTTGTCGAAGACTTTTAACTTCAATTGAGGAACATCTATACACATAGTGTTGGTTATCCAAAATAATGATATTGAAAGAGTAATGCTTTCCAATATGACCATACTCATTGCATCAATAGCATTGGTTATCAAGGCAGTTTTTATAAAGGTGTTCTGTTGTAAACAGGTTTAACAAGGGGTTTATTTAGGAGATTGCTTTGAACAATACATAGCAAGATGTCCATACTGGTAATATCTATAATATTTTTTATTTGGGCAATCAATAAAAAAATAAGTAGTTAAGGAACAATTCCCATAGTATAGTTTATTACTAGAGTCAAGTCTGGATCTGGAGATGAAGGCAATTTGATAATTGGCTTCGAATATATAGACTTCTCAAAAGCTAAGATATTCTTGTTTGAATTGTTGTAATTCTTTTTCATTAGTAATTGTAGGTTGAGTGGGTAGTAGTTGGTTATTTTCATAACTGGTTGGGACATAAATCTTTTTCTTATTTCACTTAAGAGTATAAGCTTTGTTTTTCCAATTATAACTAGCTTCTACTTTTTGTAACCAGACATTACCTAAAAGTAATGAATATGAAATAGTAGTCATTACTTCAATATCAAGAGAGATAATAGTATTTTCAATTTCTACAAGCAAATTTCTAATTATTTCAAGAGGTCAAACAGAGGATTTAGCAACAGATACGATAAGGCTAGTTGAAGGAGCTTCTATTTTTAATCCGAGTTCCTTAACAGTTTGATAAGAGATTATGCTAATTACAGCACCACTGTTAATTACAGCTTGATAAGATCTTTCTTTAAGTTTAATATTGCATTTTACAGAGGTAGTATAAGAGAGTATCTATGTCTTAATTTTAGCTTTCTTAGCTAAATATCTAGCTAAGGCTTCTCGAATGAATTCATTAACTAAAAATGTTTCAAATTGTTCATAAGTATAATCATTAGCATAGGGTGTGGTGACTTAGTGAAGTGGTGGAGTTGTCGTACCTCCAAATGGCAGGTCTAGAGTTCGAATCACATAGACAACGATTTTGAAAAAACTAGATCTGTATCGGTTAACGTTAAGATTATCAGTTGGATCCAGATATCTGTAATCTTGGTC